GGCAGCTACTCAATGACAGAGCTGAAATGTACACATAGAAAGAGTAGAGAAAGTAACACAGGCCAATATAAAGTAAATGTTAGATTTATTTTATATTAAGGTTTACTTTAATCTGCCACTGTGGCAAATAAATTCTCTTGTCCTGTTCTGGCCTAAAAAATGTGACATTTGAGATTCATCATTGGTAAGTTGAGTGAAAGGTTAGTATTTTGCCCTGATGACACATGAGATAGAAACAAAATAAACAGTGAGAGACCTGCTCAGACACCCCCTCCCCGTAGCGCAGAAGGGTAACAAAGTGCTCGCAGTTGCTCCCCAGCAGGTCGTAAGACACCTCCTGGCCAATGAGGACTTGCGCTCGCTGGATGATTTCACAGACGGGCAGGGGTGTGTGGTTATGGTCGTACTTGTTGTTGACACGGTACGAGTCGCTTCCCACCACTTCCTTCAACAGCTGCATGCGCACCACGGCCTTCCGGCTGAAGACGGACTTCACACTGGACATGGCAGCTGCAGGGCCCTCATCTGCAGAGAAAGAGGAAAGGCTCATGAGATCTTGGACCTGGAATCTTGAAGGTTTAGGGAAGACAGTTGATGTGTTTGATGCAACAGCAAAGTGAAAAGAGTACATTTATCATCCTCTGTGATTAATGCAGATAGACTTTTAGCCAATAAGAAACACAATTTGTCATCATCATGTATCATTTCACCAAAGTCTGACAGACATTGAGGACAAATAAAACAACCAGTCAATTCTTACGATCATAATATATCCTACCTCCTATGTCCTGCACAAAGCGAATGTTTGTAATGTAACAATGAGAATTCATTAAAAATGAAGACAGTTGTTGGGCTGATGTTGAGTTTCTTAGTGTTAAACTCTCTAAGTTATAACTAAGGATTATTTTAAAGTTCAGCTTTGATTGTTGCTTATTTAGGCACAAATTCTTCACGTTATAGAATAATATCCATGTTTAAAAGGCAGAGAGAACAGTGAGATTTAGATTCATTATAAAATTACCAATACAACAATATAAAAATACTTCTACAAGTAGTCTATTCAAACAATACCTTGTTTCCTAAAATATATTATAATATAAAATGGTTGAGAGAGATACAGACAGAGAAAGATTGAGAGAGAGAGAGAGAGAGAGAGAGAGAGAGAGAGAGAGAGAGAGAGAGAGAGCAGTGACAATAAAGGAGTAATGGCACTTTGTTACTTTTCACCAAACCACAGGGGTGTTTAAACACGTGTTTGTATGCAGCCAGGTTGTGCCATTACATGTCTTTATGCAGGATAGCCTATACTTGAAACTAGTGATAGATTGATCAATCACCTGATGTCTGTGCTCAAGAGAACAACAAAAGTCTGCAAACACATCTGCAGGCAACCTTTAGTTAATTTTGGGAAGGTGGTGAAAAAGTTGGTTTCGAGCCCTGTACTATAACCTTATTATAAACGTGCTGTAAACATATGCCTGAATGTCCTATAACATATAATTTGATTTAATTATACACAACTCTTTGTTTTGATGTAAGCATTATATGCTCTCTAAATATCGGGATCAACCATTGAAAAACCCATACCACTAATTGAAACCCTTCTTCAAATTCATCTACATCTGACCTCTGGTGTCTAAATGATCACAAGCTAAAATGTGACCTTTAGTATCTCCATAGGGCAGTCGGATTTAACAGCTGGATGAGAGAGGTAAGTCTCATGTTTAATTAGTCGGTGTATGTTAATGTGCAAAATCAACCTATGTTGTCTGTGACACCACTTTTGTTGTTAAGGTCAGCTCAGGCTGTTACACTCGTCTGTTGGAGGTTCCTACTGACCAACAGGAGTTAAGTTGATGATGTAACCATCTCCCAGGTAGAGAGCCCAGTGCTGATAGGCCGGTCTGAAGATCTCAATGAGGTCACCAGGCTGGGGGTCAGCACAGGGGTCAGGAAGGTCAGGGTCATTAGAGGCCATCTGCAGACACAGAGAGACAGATACAGGTACAATATTTAACTATTTTGTTTGCTTTCAATAAAAGAAAAATTAATAGTTACACTTTTTAAAAGTTTAAATAATTTAGTATAGTCAAGAAACTTCTGCTGCAGTATAACTGCCTTGAAAACCTACAAAAATTCCTTGTGAATGCCACAGTTGCTATATTACTTGTCAAAATTATATAAATGTTACAATTTAGGGAAACTATAAATGTAAAATGACCAGTGATTTCCCTTTTTAGAGGTCAACAGGTCCCTCATACTACAATATCCACTTTCACTCATCATAAAAGCCCGCACTGTTTATTTTCCGGTCATACCAACAGCCTTTCAGTCAACTTACAGTAGAGTTTTGTTGTTGTTTATCCATCCCACATCATGCTTCCACAAATTCTAAAAAGAAAAGAAAACACAGATGGGAAAAACAAACAACAAAACTACTTTTAAGCCACTGAATGTGAATCTGAAAACTGAAAAATGATATGTAGGTTTGGGATTTTTCTGATTTACTTTGTGGTTAAGACAAGTCAAGTCAAAACTAAATTCCCAGAGAAAGAGAATGCTAGATAGGATGGTACAATGTAAAGGGTGCCCATACATACACACACAAACAATACACACCAGCTCGCACGCAGACAATATACACACAAGCTCTTGTGTCACCTGTGCTGCCACAATAGCACCAACACAATGGGGAAGCTGACAGAAAAATAGTTGGAGCCCAGGTTACTTCACATAAAAATAATCATCCATAAAAGTGTGAGATTCTATCACTTTTACAACCTCTAATAGTGACTTTTTTCCTAAGTAATTTCCTTGTATCACCTGAGATAATAATAAAAATGATTAAAATTAAGACTTTCTGTTAATTCCACAGAGATGGATGGGATGAAATCTATAGCTGCCCAGGAGAGCAATGAGTATATCCATCTCATCATTAATGTATGATGCTGAAGCCGAACTGAAAAAAGAAAGCCACATATTATTTTACCAAACCAAAACTCCATCAGCATCGATGGGGTGCCACTAACATGAAATCATACTCTACAAACACAAAACATTCTGTGGAAATACGATGTAAAATATAAAAATGAAGTGCTGTAGACACTTTTAAAGCCTGTTTTTTGTAATGTTACAGCATTATTCTAGTGATTGTATTGAGGCTATAAGAAGAATTCATGTCAGAGGCTCAAACAGTCAACACAGAGCAAATGAATACATGTGTAATACTTACTCAAACACCAGCAGCTTTTTCTTCCTCACCATTTTAATTCTCCATCATAAATCCGCACATAACCATAAAAAATCCAGCAAGAAAAGAGACGCAGAAAGAGATCAGTTCCAAGTTTCTGAGATGTCAAAAGGCCGTCAAATATCCCAAAGCCAAACCAGACGTTGGAGGTCCTGGTGGAGGTATTTCAGTGTCCGCTGCTCTGACTGATGACAGTTTGCCACAGTTGCTAAGGTCACACACGCTCATAGACGCAGAGAGGCGTTTCCTCTCTGGCATTGTCTCATTCACAGGCTGCTGTTCTGAACAAGAGTTATTGTGGGCTTACAAAGGCAACACATACATGACTGAATTCATTTCTCTGTGCTTGGAGAGGTGACGTTAGTGTAGCAGCCCATGTGCCTGTTCATACATTCCCAACTCATAATGTGTCTGTTGGTTCTTCAAAATTTAACACATTAACGTAATTGCTTTTAATTAGGTTTGCACAGCTTTAACGAGATAAAGCAAATAAATCTCTCTAACTTGATGAAAGATGCCTTCCATAATACAGACTGTCCAGGTGATAGACTAGTCCCCTGCAACCCTGCAACCCTGTAACCTATAAACAGGTGTAAATAATGGATGGATAAGAGACCAGTTTGGTAATATTATGTTGAGACGAGTCTCAAAAAAAAAGATACAAAGCTTGAGGAACTGTTTATCCTAACAAAATTGTCCTGAAGAGTTCCTAAACTTTTCCAAATGAAAAAAAGTCTGTAGGAAACACTCTTCCTTTCTTTTTCCACTAGGCATAATTAATTTACTATAATTTCCGGCAGTAAATCGGTCTTATCTAAGTATAATAAAATATACCCTTGGTGGACCTGAGTGTCAGCTACAATAAAGGAGACGTCAGGGGTTGGATACATTCTTTGCTCGTTGATTGGCTGCTGCCCGCCGACCCTATTCGTCACTTGTCTCCGCCCCCTGTCGTGAACTGCAGCTCTCAGCTGCGTCAAGCTGATGACAGTAAATCTAAACAGAACAGGAAGTTAAAATCAAAAAGAAATGGAGAGATCAGGACTATGTATAAAACCACAGTATGTCATGTTGAGGGACATGCATGGAACACGTGTAGCAAACTTTGTAATTTTGCGAACAAGGTTTAAAAACAATTAAATGAACAACTATATAAAAATAGAAGAATTGTCTGATGTTATTGTTGATATCCAATAAATGGTGTATTTTAAAAAGATGCAATAAGTTGTAGCTTCAGGCAACATCTTTTTGGTCTGAAAATCTTTATGTTGTGTACTGTTTTCTGTTGTACTGATTTATTGGGAGTAATTGCCTTTTTTCACGTTTGTTTGTTTGTCTTTAATTTCATCACAAATTGTTTGTGCACTTGTGATTTAAAATTGTGCACTGATTTAAAAGCCTATAGTAAACTTAGTAACAATATAAATTAGAAAACAGATTCCCTATTCCTTTTAGATTCTTTGTACCCCGTTTAGAGCAAAGGTAAAACCTGCTGTACTTTGCTTTTTCTCAATAATTAGAGGACTATTTGCTTCTAAACCAGTAAAATGCACAGTTGACTGTAATGACGAAACTTTCCAAACAGTAAACAACGACTACTATAAAACACAAATCCTAAAAATAATAGACACATTGTAAACTTAAAACCATTTTCTTTTTTTTTAAAATGTCCTTGTGTCACAATGTCAAACGCAGCAGCTCAAGTCAATTGAGCTTTTATTTTGAAATGCATTCCAGGAAGTCGTGCTATTCGTTGCAGCTAGCTCGACGCTGGTGCCATTACAGGATACAAACAGAAGGTTAGACAGGCTGACAGCAAGTAATCTTTCAGCGAAGGAAGGGATTGTCTGCACTGTCGCCGCGGATCAGCACTGGTTGTGTTATGAGAAGAGGACACTAGCTGTTTTAGGACTTTGGTAATGAATACAGAACCGCTAACTAGCCATGCTAATGGTAGTTTACTACCGCGTTGCCGCTTCTAACGTCAGCTAGCTTAATCTGTTAGCTTGTTTGGCAGCCGCATGCGCCCGCATATATGTTCACTTATTAATAACTAACTGAGAGCAGATACATGTATGTATCTATCGTTATATACATACACATTATTACTCTCGTGTGTCGAAGTTGAACGATGTCCCTTCCTAACTTCTATGTCTTCAGTATCTCAGTTAACTTAGCTAACATGTTCCCGATGCTCTCTTGCGGCGTATTAGTTCATGTGACCCTAAAAAGTTGTACAATTTGTGACTAACAGCAGCCGCCCAGCGTGAACTAAACACTGTGTACTGTTATGGTCGTCATGTATGTCATCTCCACTGCTATAGTTAACAGTGTTTGCCCTTTCTGACCCCTCTCCGTGGTTCAGATTGAGCACCATGGCTGCAGCCCCTCCACTCAGACGGACAGATTCAGCTCGGGGGGAGTTCTCCCCTCTGAAGCACTTTGTTGTGGCCAAGAAGAAGATCAGTGATGTGTTTGAACAGCTACTCAACTACGTGAAAGAGACTTCAGAGTTTGTTGAAGGTGAGATGTTTTGATGGGAGGTTATATTTGATTTTTTTATTGGAAATGAATCGTGTTAACAGGATTGTTCCAGTAAGAGCTGCAAAGCCCTTTTATGTTATAGAGAAGTTATTATAGTAACATGTTTATCATCTGTCAGTAAGCTCTCTCGGTTCAGTGGCTTATGTAAGTTGTTGTTGTGTGTTTGTTGTGTGTTGGACTTTAGAAACCTGTGGGAACAAAGCTTTGGAGAACATTGCGAGTCAGGATCAAAAGTTGGAGATTCAGGCGTACGCTGACAAACTTGCTGTCATTAAGGAGGTGCTGGCCCGCAGACACATGAAAGTGGCCTTCTTTGGCAGGTAAAAACATCCACACACACATGAATTTTACATTTCTTTGTGTAGTATATTGTCTTAAACGCTCTTCTTTAATGATGTAATTGTTGAGTTGTGTAAGGTAAACTAGTCCCTCCCTCAATGATTCAGGTGGCACTTTCTCTTTCGCTTTCTTTTTCTTTTAACTGGACCACTGTCATAGAAGAGGCGTTGTTCAGTCACCTCGTCACCTCATCACCTGAATCTGCATAACTGAGTTTAAATTGATGTTAATTGAAGCATGATGTGCTCTGAACTTACGCAAAACACAACAGGAGGATGTGTGCGAGAGAAAAACTGAGAGATTTCCTATGCTTGATTCAACACTGAGTTAAAGTTTCAGTGCAGTTTGTTAAACCTCTTTACATTTAAAACATCTCGTGTTGCAGGTGTAACTCAGTCCGACCCATGAGAGGCCACATATTTCTGTTGCATTAACAGCAAGGATGTGGCTTTACATTTGTCTATTTTGACAATTATTTGCCATGTAAGCAAATTATTTTTGGCTCCACATTATTATTTTTAGAACGAGTAATGGTAAAAGTACAGTGGTGAACGCCATGCTGAGGGACCGCGTGCTGCCCAGCGGGATTGGCCACACCACTAACTGCTTCCTGAGTGTGGAGGGCACTGATGAGGACAAGGCCTACCTCAAGACAGAGGGCTCGGATGAGGAGAAGAGCATCAAGGTAAATGTTATTTTAATAACCATTTTGCAAGGAAGGTTTGATTAGTTCTAGTTGTCTCATTATGATTAGCACTGGTCTGACTCCTATTTATAGATTTTCAACATTTTTATACTTATAGTATAATAATAATAGCTTTTAGAACTACTTTGTACTTCAACTAGAGTAATTGGGGACACGATTTTACACAAACACACACACCAGAATCTGGCCATGGTCAGTAATCAGACCATCTGTTGCCTTTAATCAGTTGTCACCAAAATCTAAGAAGTGATGTGAGTGAATCCTCTGTTGAGTGACTGGTTTTAGTGCAGCCAGAATGGCAGGAATATTGCTGAGGAGATTTTCTTTTTGTTGTTGTGTAAGTTTTGCTGTACTCAGATGGGTCACACGGTTGAGGATACAAGCTGATAAGGTTTATTCCTCACCCTGATAACAAAGCTAAGCTCATATCTTTGTACTGATTCTTCTGCAGGGAGCATGACATAGTTTTCTAAGCAGTAGTTTGTTTTTCTAAATTAAATGTATTCATAAAATGCCTATTCAAGTTTGCAATATAGTTATGTAGGGGGTAATGAAAAAGTTATAAACTAATTAATTACAAAAATAAAGGAATAAAAACAATAATAGATAAGATATGTGCGCTTTCATAACAGTTAAAATTTGCACATCAACTTGTCTTGTTTGGCTTTTGGCTTGTGTTAATTAATACGGGTAATATTTACTTTATTGGAAGTTTTTAATGTTAACACTTAACACTGCAAAATGCTTTTACATTAAAGAGAATTTGTTACATTAAAATCCATAACTTCAGTCTGTTTACGTCTCCTCTGCAGACTGTAAACCAGCTGGCTCACGCACTCCACATGGATGAGAGTCTGGACGCCGGATGTCTTGTCCGTGTGTTTTGGCCAAAGACCAAGTGTGCTCTACTTCGAGACGACCTGGTGCTTGTAGACAGGTAACAGCATCTGGAAATCCTGTACAAGTTTGTAAATATCAATTTGACAGTTTCTAGGATATTGAAAAGTGTGATTCACACAGTTAAGGTCAGTAATGTGCAGGGAAAAGAAATCTGGCTAAAATGGACATATTACATCACATGTTTTGTAGATGTCATATATTTGACCTCTTGACCTCTCTTCCACTCCCTAGTCCAGGGACAGATGTCACATCACAACTGGACAGCTGGATTGACAAGTTTTGCCTGGATGCTGATGTGTTTGTGCTGGTGGCCAACTCTGAATCCACACTTATGAACACGGTACGTCTCTAACATAAGTGTAGGAATAGTTTGGACATGTGTAGTTAATCTCACGAGTAGATATTCCAATTTCTGTTCCCATGGCTCATTATCACTGAATATTCCTTTTAAAGGTATTTTAGTGTCCACCCAAGGTGATGACTGTACTGTAATTTAACAATAACATCCACAATAACACACCATAATAGCAAGCAAAGTAAGTTTTCAGATATGTCAGTCCCTTCTGTGTATTAAAAGGGCCAGCGTAGATGTTTTCTATGCTGAGCTGATTACAGTGGAGAGGAGAATGTAGCTGCCCGTGTTTGTATCCAGCCACAGAGGCCCCACTCTTGTTTCTCTCAGCTCAGGCATTCATGCAATATGAAGCTGGACGCAGTCAATCACAGAGCTCCTTAACCCAGCAGCAACTCTTAAAGGGAAAGGCAAACACACATTACCCTCTGGGCTATTCAATGGAAATGAACCCAGCCATTATGTAAATAATGCAAGATAGTCACGTAGCAAAAATGTGGGTACTGCATTTGAATCAAGTCTTTTCATTTTTATTGTGTCAAAACTATCAATCTACAATTGTGATTTATTGGCAATAAAAATAGAAAAGGAACGTTTTACATGTCATTTTTTTCACTTTAACATCACTCGTACTGATCTCTTTTCACCCTTCCACCACCTAGGAAAAGCACTTTTTCCACAAAGTGAACGAACGTCTGTCGAAGCCAAACATCTTCATCCTCAACAACCGCTGGGACGCCTCAGCAAATGAACCAGAATACATGGAAGATGTGAGTCAATCATCTGTTGCTGAAACATTTTTTTCTTACAGAACGTGTGTCATCATTGTTGTAGATTTTTGTAAAGATCTTTTGAAACCACAAATCAGTTGGAACATGAAAGCAAAACTATCTGCGTGGCTAAATATCACAAAGGACAATTATTCATTTGTTTTAAATGAGCATGTTAAATTAGTGTTTGCAATAAAAGAATGTGTTTTTACGAACTTATTTTTTAGCCATGTATCCAAAATATTGATTTCCTTAATGTGAAATCACAAAAAAAAAACAATGCACCCTAAGAATGTGACAACTCTTCCTCCAGGTGAGGAAGCAGCACACAGACCGTTGTGTGAACTTCCTGGTAGAGGAGCTGAAGGTTGTGGACCGAGATCAGGCACCCAACCGCATTTTCTTCGTCTCTGCCAAAGAGGTGCTCAACTCCCGCATGCAGCGTGCGCAGGGCATGCCTGAAACCGGTGAGGCTTTGCATTGTAGCTGATGATGCTGCAGGGTTTATTTTGTTTTTTAAAATTATTTTATTGAACAATTTTCTTTTACTTATTAGGGAAATAGTTGGGTAACACTAAACTTCATTCATGATGCAAATGACAAACAATGAAAACTGTGATGGAAATTATCTACAACTAATAATAAAGGCTTAGCAAAATAAGTCTATAAACAGTCATGTAGGTTAAGATGTCTTTGCTGATGCAAGTTGTGTGTTTGTGCAATAATAGAAATTACTTTTCTTTGACATACAATGTGATCATTTCATCCAACAGGTGGAGCCCTGGCTGAGGGTTTCCAGGAAAGACTGAAGGAGTTTCAGAACTTTGAAAGGAGGTTTGAGGTCTGTTTGTGTGTGTGTGTGTGTGTGTGTGTGTGTGTGTGTGTGTGTGTGTGTGTGTGTGTGTGTGTGTGTGTGTGTGTGTGTGTGTGTGTGTGTGTGTGTGTGTGTGTGTGTGTGTGTGTGTGTGTGTGTGTCAGTCAGAGTCCTCTCCATATCCTCCAATAATTTTATTCCCACTTCTCAAAGCAAAATCCATTTTCCTGTCTGAATCCCAAGAGATGTATTTTCAAGGAAATTAAGCAGGTTTCAATCATTTTGACCCACATGTGAATAGACACTGATATATTTGCTACCAGAAAGACATCTCAACAGGTATTCCTCTGAGGTGAAATCAGTGTCAAGTCAAATCAAGCCGAAAACAGCAGATTACACGAATGCTAGTAAAGCTGATAACACTGCGGTCGGTGTGTCATAAAGTGCTAAGCAAATCTTTTTGACGTCGTCTGTCTGCTGCTGGTCACAACTGGGATAATCACGTATGTTATGAGAAGTGAGGCTATTTTTTCATTTATTCAGACCAGGAAATTCAGACAGTGTTTGCTTTATCAGGCTGTGAACCAGAGCTTGATTCATTGTTCCAGTTACACAAACTCTTTGGGAATTTGAGAAAACACTGCTTTGAGGAATTCCTTTCCTGGTGTTTGTTTGAGATTACTGCACAGTGAAAGAAATTGAATAAAACGAGAAGCACCCACTGTCCTTCAATTAACCTGAGCAGTCAACTTCTCGAACCTGGCTTAGCGGTTAGGTTTCGCCACCGATGTGAAGCTGGTGTCCCGAGGGCCTTCTAGGCCAATCACTGTGCCTTTTCCATCAACCTGCGTCTTCATTGCTGAAGTCTAGATTCACTTAGGCGAGGGCATCCCTTTGTTTTCATTCCATGTTGATTTTGTTCTGTCTTAACCATTTTTTCAGTTTTATTTGTGTTCATGTGTTCTGTTGCATCTTGTTGAGATGTTTTGATTTGAACTAGCAGGAAGTGTATTGTGTCCTTACTGGGAAAAAATTATCATTACAGTTTTTTAAGATTTCAAACCTGATTGATTTAGTGATACCCACGTTACTGTGGTTTCAGCAAGTGCGGTTTAATACTACACGTCCTTGAATTCTATTGGCAGCAAACAGCCGTTGAGCAGCTGCTTTGTCAGAAATACAGAAAACAGAGGAGAAACTGTGTTTCATGTTTACAGTGTAGCCAAACAAACTCATGTTGTTTTAAGAAAGAAGTCACTTACTAATTGGTATTTTTCCATTATGTCGTGAGCAGTCACAGCACAAGTAGTTTTACAGCAGGACATGGTAAAGTTTGCCTTAAAACTCAGTCTAATTTAAACTGAGCCGCTGACCAAAAATGTTGAAAGAGACCATTGTCTTGTATTGCGGATGCATAATTTAACGAGTAATCGGGGCTGGCGCCCATATCTGTGACAAATGCAGTGTATGTCCTGCTTCTTTATGTGAGGCAGCGTAAGTAGGAAATGTTCAGCTTGCATCGCAGTAACTTAATACAGATCTGATACACGTTAGGAAAGTGAACAGTAATAAGTGAGCCTGTTATTACACTGAATTACATGCATGCATCCTGTGAATCCTGCTTGTATGTGAAAGCAATAAGAATCCAATCCGGGAAAGGCAGACTCCGCCACTAACAATGAAAACTACAACTGACAATTATTTTTTATGTTTGTTAATTTAAAAAAAAAAATCTTTTTGAAAATTTTGAAATCATTAAAGCCCTGTTTACACGCAGTCAAAGAAAAAAACTATTCAATTCAGTTTTATTTATATAGCACCAAATCATAACAGAAGTTATCTCAGAACATTTTCATATAGAGCAGGTCTAGACCGAACTCTTTAAAAAAAAAATAAAAATAAAATTATTTACAGAGACCCAGCTAGTCCTTATATGTTTATCCCAAAATGACACAATATTCCTACTCTTACATGTTACTGTACTTTTGTTTTGTTTCACTTGCCTTCTTGATTGTATACACTTGATATGTTTTTATAATTTTGCTGTGGCTTCACCCACACATTACTGTGACATTACAATATGTGGGCTGTGGGACTCAAGATACACACACTGCTGCTGTCATTTTCACATCTGTGTTTCCATTTCTTTTCTTCTCCTAAGTTAAAGTAGCAGGTGTCTATCTTGTCCTCTGTTCGTCCCTGGTAGCGTGCACGTTGGTGTACCCTATCCAGCAGCAGCCCCTATAGCTGTCACAGTGACTTGTGTGTTATGGCCTCGCAGGAGTGTATCTCGCAGTCAGCAGTGAAAACAAAGTTTGAGCAGCACACTATCAGGGCCAAGCAGATCACAGAAAAAGTCAAGAGCATCATGGACGCCATCAACATCGAGGCGGCGGAGAAGAGGTGAGTGTCTCGTTCCAGACATTTATTTTCCCCCTCCTCTGTTAGTTTGAGTGTGTTGATAGAGATCAAAGTCTGATATTGTCAAACTGATATTGTCTCCTTCTGTCAATGGCGTGAAGGGCTTATAGAGGTAATCTATGAAACCTCTGAGAAAAATGTAGGTGTAACAAGATTTGAAAGATATTTAGCTTAATAGTAGAGGGATAAAGTAAGTAGTAGATATAGCTATAACTATCAGTGGATTTCTCAAAAATCCTACTTTCTGTGTTGCACTTTCTGTGTCTTTGATTCTTTTGACTGTGAAATCATTCAGCCACAAGTTTGCATTTGTGACTTTATGTTCTGTTGATGGGGCGGGGCTTCAGAGTGGCAGCTATGGAGGACAGAGAGTATCAGATGGACCGACTGGAGTTTGTCAAGAATCAACTCAACTTGCTGATTGATGATATCAAGAAGAAGATCAAGGCCATCAGTGAGGACGTTGCATCTAAGGTACTGTAGACAAAAACTGGTGGAAGAACTATTGAATATACTGTTTAAGTTTTTGAGGTGTGTCTGCTTGCACCAACAGCTCTGTTAGTGCTCATCATAGAAGACCATAGAAACAGCAAATCCTCCCATTTGAGAAGATGAAACCAGCAAATTTTGGGCATTTTCATTTAAACTATTCATCTTAGTTTTGTGTTTTTGTTGTTTTACAATCTGTACAGCACACAACGCCCCCTGTCTTTAGACACTGATAACTGGTTGTGTTTCATCCAGGTATCCAGCGCCATGGAAGAAGAGATCTGCCGTCTCCACGTAATCGTTGATGAGTTCACCGGTGACTTCCACCCCTCACCACAAGTCATAAAGATCTACAAGTCTGTAAGTAGAGGCTCAGATTAATTCTTTAATTCTACCAACTTTCCTAGGCAATAATTTGAAGTTACCAGGCAACTGTGCCAGTTGACTGCTCCTAAACTAGAGGCCAGAGTGACAAGTGTACTCTGGTCTTTCTAGTTTTATTGACTGTTGTCCATGTGACCTCTGACTCCTGTTGCTGTTTGCAGGAGCTGCTGGCTCATGTGGAGGAGGGAATGGGCAAGAACCTGGCCTACCGCTGCTCCAACGCTGTTTATGCTTCTGTCCAGTCCTCTCAGGGATACATGATAGGTAATTAAACTGCACAAAAAAGGAAGATTGCCTTTGTAGTACTTGTAGTAACTTAGTTGTTCAGGTTTTAGTCCAAATAAAATTCTAAAATAATAAAATAAACTCTCATTCAGTGAATGATCTAAAGTTGCAGCTGGTAATCTGTGGCCGCACACTGCATTACTTTGGGAAAATCAGTTTTTAACTTTCACCCCATTATTTTCGACTTAACGATCAAACTGAATTTATTAGACACCATAAAGTGCGGCTTTCCCTTGGTCATAACCATTTATGTAATTTTGAGGTATCTTAATAAAGCAGAAATACTTAACAAAAACAGATGAAAGAATAGTGAAGATTGAAAGCTAAAATTAATAAATGGTTGGTCATTTTCTCAAAAACTCTCCTCATTTGAAAGTCCAAGGAAGAAATCACATTTCCATAGAAAATGACCTCAGCCCAGATTTCCAGCCCACCATTGTTTTTTTTTTAACTCAATCACTCATTTAGAGAGTGTTGCTAAACCCTGTCGGGCACTTGGGCCATGGTCTGCAACACCCAGCACCCTGCTATATTTACCCTCCTCGCTGAATGCCATCATTGCATGCCCCATTATGCTACAAATGCGTCACTGTGTCAGGCACGCTCACAAGCTGTGCTCATGACGGTAATGTTGAAAAGGTGTTAATGTGCCCTCTAATGAAAAGGACTCATGTGCTCTGTTATGAAATTGTGGTGTGACTTTTTTTTTTGGCCCTAAGGAGAGATAAAAAAATAAAAAATAAAAAGTAGGAGATTTTAAATCAAATGTACCCTTTTTTTGCTTTACAGACCACAATGATACTCTGGTGTTTCTATTATCTTCTGTTATATTCTGCCCCCTAGTGCCCAAGAAAGAAGCTATTGGCTTATTAGCTGTAAAATGTGCTTTTTTGTACTGTACTGTCAGAAGAATAGTCCCTTAAAGTGTTAAAACATATTTTCTTTTGTGCATCACTGTATGTTTAAAATATGATCTAAGCTACAAATGATCCCCTGGCTGCTGCTGATTTCTGTCAGTGCCTCTTGTAATTCTCACACATCATGTTTGCTCGCTCTCCAGAGAGCATGCTCCCTCTGCTTCCCTCTGCGGTCCAGAGCCAAGTCAACATGCTGGTGCCCAGCAGGAAGTTTGACCTGAGTTACGACCTAAACTGCGCCACACTTTGCAGTGACTTCCAGGAGAACATTGAGTTTCGGTTCTCGTTGGGCTGGTCGGCGTTAGTCCACCGCTTCCTGGGATCTGTCAACGCACAGAGAGCGCTCAAAATGGTCGACCAGAACTTCCAGGTATAGGCCGGAAAATGTGCCAACTTTTTTGATTTGTGATATTTAATGTCAGTAGTAATAATAATAATAATAATAATAATAATAAAAGTATTCACATAAAGATCATTTAAAAGGTATAATGAAAAAAACTCTGCTGTCATTACTCAGTCCTCTCGACCGGCGATGTCCATGGCCTGTACGCCCTCCTCAGGACCCTCCTCCATGATAGCCCCACCAAACAATGAGACAGCCCTCATGACCCAGGAGGACCTGATGGTAGCCATGGCAACCAATGTGGCATCCCTTACCTCCCGCACTTCAATGAGCGCTGTCATTGTTGGAGGAGTGGTATGTTGTTTGCATGTGTTCTTGCGCATGAACCTGGATCGATGTACGTAGGCAGTTTTACATGATATCGTTCTTAATTGATTTGCTTGTTGCAGCAACTCTATAACGCAACACAACATTTTTATTTATGTTCTCAGGTGTATAGAGCAGTTGGCTGGAGGTTGATTGCCATGTCTGCCTCACTGTATGGCTTGCTGTACCTGTACGAGAGACTCACCTGGACGACGAAAGCAAAGGAGCGTAGTCTGAAGCGCCAGTTTGTAGACTACGCAACAGAGAAGCTGCAGCTCATCGTCAGCTTTACTAGTGCAAACTGTAGCCACCAGGTCCAACAGTAAGTCCTGATACAAACAGCGTATCCTAGTCGAAGAAATTACACAAAGCAGTACATGAAATGTGTGCTCGATATACAGTAAGATTAATTAAACATTTAACATTTTGCCATTTGTGATATACTTTGTATTTTTATTGTACAACTTACTAAATATTAGAAATGGATAATGTCCACTGTATTAAAGGGTGAAATAATCCTTTAACATGTGCACATTCAGTCCCACAATTTTTAGGTTGACATCAAGATGCTCATTTCTCTGCACCTTTCCTTAATTTTCTGCCAAGGGTATTTAACCTACTGACAAAGCCTGACTCCCCATAATGTTCCTTATTTGCACACACACACATCCCTGCCCCACCCTCCTCTGTGCCCCACCCAGCCTTCCCCTCTGTAGCAGGGCTAAATAAATAAGCACTGAGACGCTGTGCCCTCTGTGTTGCCAGGGAGATGGCTACGACCTTTGCTCGGCTCTGTCAGCAGGTGGACCAGACGCAGAAAGAGCTGGAGGCTGAAATCCGCCAACTGACAGCCAAGATAGATCAGCTGGAGACAGTCCAGAGCCAGTCCAAGAGCCTGCGGTCAGTCCATCTTCCTCTCTTATTGGGGGCAACATGAAGGGTAGAGAAGTGGGGGAGAGAGTAGACTGTCTATAACCATCTGGAAATTTGCAGATGATTAATATCCTAGATTATATAAATGATGGTGCAGCATTCACTGTTTAAGATGCAGTTCATTGATGCATGTTTACAAAATCACACTGGTTAACAGACCTGAAGATGATGATAGGTCATGTATGAGAGTAATATACAGTTCACAGAAAGGAAATACAAATTAGTTTTTATTTGCTTGTGAACAAATAGTTTGCTTTATAGTCGATTACTGATTACAGGTGTAAAGTTGTACATAGTTGTGTCACGATATAACAAACAGAAATATGGGTGGATGTTGGCAAATTAGTTATAATATAATAACGGTTATAAGTATAAAGATAATTTAAAAAAAAGTGTTATAGGGACAGGAATTTTAGGCAGGTCTTTCCTGTTCTTTAAAGGCCTATGAATTTCATATACTGTACATGTTTGGGGGAGGAAAAAGCTTTTCAGTCATATTATATAAATAAAACTGCACTATTTACAGAATTTACATGTCACTTGAGATGTTACAGAACAGCTCTGGAAATGTGAAACAGTTAGAAAGACTTGATTGAAGTGTTTTGAATGAAATTGTTCCGAACCCTGGCGTGTGTTTGTTTCCTCTGCAGACATAAAGCGACAGCCCTGGAGAGACAGTTGGAGGAGTTCACAAACCAGTACCTGCAGCATCAGCAGTGAGCTGCTCTTCTTCTTCGCTCCAGAGTTTGGTTCTTGTTGAGCCAATCATTCCTCAGTCAGGCGCTGCCTCACCCGCTCCCAGTCAGCTGAACTACACCACAGTTTCTGTGTGGACAGTAGTGCTGAAAAAAGGAATGGATTTGACCTATCAACTGAATATAGTCTATAGGTATTTTGGTAATCAATGAAATGTTATTAGGCCAGAGCATCCAACCTCTGCAGCCACTAAAGTGTGAAGATTTGGCCCCTTTTGTGTCATTTGTAAAAATGTATTCTGTTTTTCTTTTGTCACACCAAATAGTCCAGTTATGGGAAACTTAATGGAAACTTTCATGTTTTTTTTGACATTTTGTTGAGTATTCAGTTAATCAAAAACCAAAAGAAGATTGACCGACAATGAAAACGATCTGTAGCTTAACTCTTGGCGGACAGGGGAAGGTGATGGCACTGACATGGCAGTATTTTCCTCTCCTCCTTTCCTTCTCAGCCATTCAGGTGCTTGAAAAAAACTGTAAAACAAACAAATGGACTCATGACGTGCAAAGACGCTCCACGAGGTGGCGATGTAATCTCGGTCGGCGAGAAGGCTACCAGTCGGGTGCTATATTTTGACACTAACGTCCTTCGAACTGTGAATATGCCTTTTTTTGACTAACTTTTGAGGAGCAAATGAAGTTTGTGTCTGTAAGACTGTTCCTGTATCTGTCCAGGTACATGATCTGCTGTATGTTAGCAAAAAAAAAAATATATATATTTAATAATAAACAATAAATAATAAAAAACAAACTGATTTATAAGGACCTTGTTAGTCTAAGTTCACTGAGAAATCATTTGAGTAGAAAGGGAAAGCATGTCTTTAACATACTGTAGGTTCATGTTCTATTTTCTAAGAATCCAAACTGTATAGTTTAAAGGCTTTGGAAATCCTCATATTTTATAATATCCGGTTTTATTTATACCCATTAGACTTGTAATGACAATTACACCAGTCTACACTTATTTTTTCCTAAATGTGTGTACCTACAGATTTGTCCGATTGTATTAAATCTGCCACAATCTAAAACAGAGTTTTTGTGCATTCATTTGATTTAATTTTTTGTAAATATTTGATGCATAGTCCACAAGGATTTGTGTTTTTCAACTCCAGCATTCCCCCACCGATGGGAAAGGAAAGTAGTCCTGCCAGCAGCCGTGTGGTCGATGCCATGTACAGGCAGGGAAATAAACTGCTGCTGCAATTCAACCTTTGCACCGTCTGCAGGTAGTGATTGTGTGACAGCAGCTTTTGTTCTTGTTTTACACTTGTTTCACACGTGAAAGCAATTACTAAAATGGAACACCAGAGGATATTTAGTATTCAAATATAAATACAGTTCAGCTTTTGGCAAAAGAAACCCTCTTTCTAAACATCTATGATGAAGAAACTTCCCTGTCAAAAGTGAGCCTGTGTCAGTTGTAAAAAATAATCATTTGTCCAAGCCGCACTTTTCTGCCAAGAAGCAACAGATATGTAAATGCTTATAGTTTAAATATTAAACGCCAAAAGAACTTCTTCAAACTCCACAGCCAGTTTCCTTTGAACCTTGTTTTGGGTGCTTTGCATGAATCAAGTTGTCCCTTTTCTCCTCAAATGGTTGTTTTTGAATTACATTTCTTCTACAGTTAACCACTAATCCACTACAAAATAACCTTGCTTAACATTTATATAAAAAGGGCAAATACTATGTATATATAGTTCATGGCACAGACTATTTCTTTTGTAAAGGAAATGAGCCAGGATTTGTATTCTTGGTTAGAAGCTTTTTATTGGTTACAATAACTCATGGCAACATATCAGTATCACCAAGCCACTGTACAAATACAAAAAAAAGGTCTGGTGTGAAAAAGACTATAAAAATTATTCCATAACAAGTGATTATAATTTCACACAATAGCACTGTAAGAGAATTATCATGGCACCAAGTCCCTGGTCTTTACTGGCTTAAAACAATAAATAAAATCAAAACAAAATGTCACAACAGTAGGTTGTAGAGTCAAAAGGGCAGTGCATTATTTTGTGATGGTGCTGTGGTGGTGATGATCATGTGACATAACTAATTCAAGTGGTGGGGATTGAATTTCTATCCTCCTATGCTGAATATTTATCAGAAACTTAGAACAACTTTTCACGTCTAGATACTAAATTGGAGAATCGTACAAATACAGTTGAGGAAATTCTGACTGAACTTGTGCAGCGGGAGACATTTTCACATCTGCTCCTTTAAATTAGATGTCGGCACTACGGGTGACGACGGCACCTTACGTTAATTGCCTAAAAAAAAAAAAAAACGACTGCTAAGCATACCACTCCTATCGTTCAGGTTCAGATAGAGTGAGATTTTAGACAATACTGTAAAACATCAAATAAGCTGATCCAACAGCTCCGTATCAGTCAGTGTAGTTAAAGAGCATAAACTGGAGGAGACTTCAGGTAAATACAATAATGTGAAATTAAATGAAGTCAAGCACCTTTTTGATCAATGAGTCTACTGCACTACTTAGATGAGTGAACTGCACAGGCACGTAGAAGTGTTACTATTCCAGGTTCCAGCTGCTAATACTGCTGAATTACACACAGAGCAAGGAAATGGTTGCCTGCTGAATATCACTGTCAGTAATACACACAATCCCCTTTTCAGCTGTTAAGGGCTATGGTGGTGGTGGTTTCAAATTTCACACAGCTTGTAATTTACTGAAAGAACTTGGTGAGTTTATTGGACAATAGGGGAAATAAGTTTACTCGCTTTCGGCAGAGATGTAAAGAAGAGGTTACTAGAGGCTAGCACTAGCTGCCAGCTAGCTTAGCTTAGCACAAAGACTGAAAACGGGGAAACAAACTAGCCTGGCTCCGTCAAACTGTAACAATGGCTGCTTATCATTATCCCTAAAGCTCATATGTACAAAAAGAAAAGTGTAAAAATAAACATTTTGCCGTTTAAAGGGGGCAGGTATGTGTCGGACCGGTTGCCAGGCAACCAGCTGAGACTCAAGGGAGTTACTGCTACCAGCCAAAACATAGTCCATTTAATTGTTGTGTTTACACTTTTTGATAAACAAATGAGATATAACATGTTAATTAGCAGATTGTTTTATTAATCTTTTGACAGAACCGGGCTGTTCCCACAGTTTTTGTCTTTGTGCTAAGCTAACAGGCTGCTGGTTGTAGCCCAACAGACATGAGAGTGGTATGGATCGACTCATGTGACTGCTAGAAAGCGAACATTTCTCAAAATATTATTGAAAATACATTTTGTCATCTTTGACGTCTGATGTCCTCTGACTGACATGAAGACTTTAGCACTGTCACTTTAATACCACTTTGGGATACAAACACCCATCTTCAGATAAAGCAGTCAACCTGTTTGATCAGACAACAGTTGGGTATAAAATCAGATAGTGATGCGACTTTAATTGATGGATATGGAGAAGGCTGGCACTTGAGCAAACATGTTTTTTTTTTTGTCACATTGACTAGTTTTCAGTTCACAGCTCAGGGTCTGTGGATAACATTGGCACAAATGAGGAAGTAACACTTAGATCTACATGTTATCCACATACATCAGCAATCACCCCCCCTCCCGCCCTCCCTCCCCTCCCCTTGCCTTGCCTTGCCTTGCCTTACCACCCCCCCCCACACACACACACACCTCAACACTGATATGCAATACATATCACATCCTACACACCTCAAAGTTATTCTCAGGCTAAAAACTATAATTGTTATTTTTAACATTCTCTCAAAATGGATTCATTAATGCAAAGCCAGGTAGAAGCAGCTAAAACGTTGGAAAAAAAAAAAAAAAAAGTCACTAGAATCACGGTATGCCAAAGAGGGGTTTCATTGATAGCTGATTGAACCTAAATAAATACTACAAACTGTACGGTAGTAGTAGAAAGCAGAGTTGTATAAAAAGTGATGTAAAACACTTGCTCTAAGAAGCAGTATGGAGCTGCATGTGGCCATGGTGGTTTTTGTTTCTGTAAGCATGCTTTTTAGTGTTCACTAGTATCAGAATGTGCTTCTATCGAGAAAACAGAAAAATAATTAGCAATCTTTCTTATTGATCAGTGTGTAAAAAGGAATAGTAAGAGGAAAACATTACTGTAGTCGATGCTAGTATTACCTTCTATTATGAATGGTATCGTAAGGCAGAATGGAGACACAATAGTGCCACATCTCGCAGGAGCACAAACCCTCCTTTATCCAGCCCGTGTGGGTCAAATGTTTCTATTTAGAGATAGGCACCTGAGACAGCTGATGGATAGGTCCAACTCACATACATTATGTGTTTTAGCTGTTGTTTTTTTAAATTAAGCCTTTAGGAGGAACCAAAATAATGGAAGTTGCGTGAAAATACCCAAAATCAGAGATTACCACTTCTATGGGTAAATAAGTCACATGTGCTCGATGGTCTACGTTTGTACTACAGCTTGTGAGTGCATTTCTAGCTCTCTACTAAGTGTACATTTCTGTCTAACAAGTGTAATTTCTTCACTAGCAATATTTAACGGTTCATAACATGTTTTTGGTGAGGAAAGAAATAAAATAAAATCGCTGAAAGTGTTAAACCCTTAAAAAAATCTTTTTTTCTGTTTTCTTTTTTTTTTTACAGGCTTGTGGTGGCACTGGTGTGATTTTTGAGTGGCAAACATGATTTCAGTTCCATGCAGTCACTCATTTCACACCTTGCTGACGGCGAAAAGGACTTCTTGATCCTTCATTTAGAAAAAAAAAGAAAAAAAAAATGACATGGAGAGCTCTGACAGACATCTTTCACTCTTTCATCTTTTCTCTAGTCCTCAGAGGCCGCTGACATGTCACCGCTGTCCTTTATGGTCCTTTAATATCCTCATATAACGACTGCCCGCTCTACCATTTGTCCATGCAGGCCTCAGCACCGGTAGAAAACAGCTTCTGCTCGGGGAGAACGTGTCCCTCTTTTCCATCAGCGTCATTTGTACGGGCAACTTGAGATGCTCATCTCGACTTTAAGGAAAAGTGTAGTTTCTATAGGCCACAGGAGACGGGCATATTATGATGCAAAACCTCTGTTTAGGACCATTATTGGGTTATCAAACACATCACACAGCTGTTGATTTGCATGGAATGGATGTGGTCTTCAGATATTCAGCATGCGGATGATTTAAAACCACAATCCATGTGAGAAAGAGGCCAAGGCAGGGCCTCCAGGAAAATAAAATTTTTCAATCTAAGGCTAAAATTTACTGGTTTCTACTTTGGAGCTAAAGCTGAATCCAGACTAAAAAAAAAAAAAAAATACTTAAAAACGCTGCTTGTTGGTCTTGAAGCTCTCTCTAATCACTACCACAGCAGTGTGCCGGTTTCCTTCCAAATGAAAAGACTGTGGTGAGGAATGCCGGGGGTTGTGTTATTAAAAGAAAAAGAAAAAGAAAAAGAAAAAAAAATATCATAGCCATCATTCACATGAACGCAACATTTCTAGATACAGGACGCATGAGTTATGCCCACTGCCTGTAACAATAATACACGCACGCACGCACGCACGCACGCACGCACACACGCACGCACACTGAACACACAAAAAATGAGGAAAGTGAGTTAAAACTAGGCCAAATTATATTTTTTCTAATTGACCTGTTTACTTGCTATGTCCTCTTTTGTTGCTAGATGAGTGGGCTTGACTGAATCAGCACGTACCAGAATTTTTTACTTTTTACGATACGTTGCGGTATCAGAAGTGTCTGGCACTGACTCTGGTACTTACACAGGATAAAATAAGTGTTTCTGGCATTATGTTGTGTAGTAATGTGAATATGTACATTTGAAATAAAACATAAAACCCCCAAATCATAAAAAAAAAAACGCAAGGGTGGGAAATTAACTACAAAAATATATACATACACATTATATATGCATATATGATGCATATATACACACATAATGCTATACATATATACTGTCTTTATATATACATTTACATAATACACATCAACGCTCATCTTGCTTGTTGTTAGTCATGGTTACAGACGTTCTTCATCGCCTTTTAGAGAATTGGTTTAAGGGCAAAATCTTCTATTTTTTTCCCCTTCAGTTTCTCATAACTCATCTCTTTTATTTATGATTGGACAATTCTACTGAAAGGTTCTTATTTTTGTTTCTGTGTAATAGCTGGGTGAAAAAAACGTCACTTGGAAAGGTAGAAAGAGTTGGTACTTTCTCACAGGTGGGCAGGTTGCCAGCAGAGAGGAAAACTGGGGGTGACTTAAGAGGATTTCGGCAGACACGGTGTGCACCCCGCAGGTCCAGCCCAGCAGATGAGTTGGGATATGTAGGGTGGGGTTGTGGGGAGGAAGTTGGCAGGCAGTGATTGAGTACAACAGGGAAGAGGTTTGTTTTAGTTCCAGATCCGGAGGAAACTGTCCCAGGAGCCGGTGGCCACAGCCATGCCGTCTTCTGTCACCCCTAAGCAGCTCACTCTGTTGTCGTGGCCCGCTAGCACACCTGGGAGGTCAAAGACGATAAACCAGAGTCAAAGGTTGGTTATCAAAAATCTGCAGCCCAAAGTTAAGAGCCATTCAAACACAATGTCTTCGGCTATAACATGAGCAGTTCACACTATAGGCCTTAATGTTCAACTTGATGCTCATTCTTAGGATAAGATAAGATGTACATTTATTGATACCCCGTAGGAGAAATTCAAATTCACAGATGTTTGTTCAAGGATGCAACTTGGGTGATATTAGCGCTGAATCTGTCAACTGATTGATGAGTAAATCTACAGGAAATAACTGGTCGCTATGTTGATAACTGATTATTAAATGTGAACATTTTCAGCTTCTCTTCGTCTTATTTTGTCTTGTGCAACTAACAATTATTTTCATAATTGATTATTTTGTCAATTATTGATATGTTCTACAAAACATTTGAAGAGAGTAAAATGCCGTCACAATATACACAAGGTGACACCATCAAATATCTTAAAAAAAATATTTGGTTAATTTAGTTGTTAGACCTAAAAAAGCAGCACATTCTCACATTTGAGAAGCTGGAACCAGATAATGTTTGGCATTTTTGCTTGAACTCTGAGTAAAACAATCAACTGATCATCAAAACAATTGCACTTTTCTTTAAATTTCCTTGATTCATCAACTAATTGTTGTGGCTCTACAAGGTAGGTAGGTTCAATTCTCTCATTTTGTGCAGTGACAAAATAAGCACACGTCAAGGACACCACAGCTTTTTTTAAAATGCAAACTTTGAATCCTTGATTCTACTGACCCTTATTGTCAAATAAATCTAGATTCAAATCGTCACATACAAGTTGTGTTAGGATTCATACATTTCACATTCATTCATTGTTCATGTGGTCCAAATATTTGAGGTCCAAATATAGCTATTTGCTCAAAGTGCTGAAAGCTACACTGACATCATCAATCATTTCAAAATGACTGTATATCGCACCCTTGTTTTATCCAGTTGCTTCCACTGAGCTCATGGATTTCAAAATGACAAGAGACTGTGTTTAGTTATTAGCACAAGCTAAATTATTTCTTCATTCGGTCACATATAATAAAAGAAAAGACCAGACTTCCTTACCTGCACGTTCGCCTTTCAGAGTGTCCCAGACGTTGCAGTTAAAGTCATCGTAGCCGGCCAGGAGCAGTCGGCCACTCTTGGAGAAAGCCACAGAGGTGATGCCGCAGATGATGTTGTCGTGGCTGTACATCATCAGCTCCTGGTCAGCACGCAGGTCAAACAGCCTGCAGGTGGCGTCATCTGAGCCTGTGCCAAAGGCATTCCCATTGGGGAAAAACTGCAGGGGAAAAAACATTTAAAATCAAGCAGAAGTAAAGAATGTTAAGTCATCATATTGGGTTTTTGAGGTGATTACGCCCAAGACGCTGATTTACTTTAAAAAGAGCACTTATAGAGTAATAATGTATTCCTTTACAAGAGTCATTTTTCATAGTTGATAATTCATCAAGTTAAAATTCAAACTTTGTATGTTATAGGTTTCTTTCTCATAAAGAATGTTTATCAAATCTACAATTTTCAAGAATCAAATGATATTGAGTCCTCAATCCGATAATCTGTGTGTGTGCGCGACTGTAGTACTCACGGTGACGGCATTTATGTCAGACACGTGGCCGGTGAAGGATTGCCTGCACATGCCATCACGGATGTCCCATAGCTTGGAGGTGGCGTCACAGGCTCCTGACACAAAGGTCTTATAGTCCGGGCTTAGAGACAAACTCATTACATCCCCTGTGTGGCCAGTAAAGGTGGTGGCCTGCTGGCCTGTCTCTATGTCCCACAATGCACTGCAAGACAGGAGATAGTAGTTAGGTATGCGACCTCTGAGTTATTATGAAAGCGCAGGTGGGAAGTATACAGCAATGAGAACTTGTGATTGTGAGAGAGAGACTTTACAATATCAATGTTTGGGGGGTTTCCATATCTATGTTTCTTTATACACCTCAGTAGAATTATGACCCTGTATGACAATGCCAATGCCTGGTCTGACATGGATATCTAAGCTCACATATTAGAGCTATAGAGAATAGCATAGAGCAAAGCACTTTTGTTAGTTAACCACACAAAGGGCTTTCCTCAGCTGCAACGTGAGAGTAAGATAGTGAGAGTAAGAGGATGGATACTGGAGAGAAACTCTTTTTTTATATACACAACATAACGTTTTTATATACAGTAATGTGGCGAAGCATTCAGTCGGCTGTGTAGCATGAAAACAATATCAATACTAGGGTTCTATTCTTTATGCTGTACAGGTGGAGGCAGAGTCATCACTCACCAGGTGGTGTCTCCAGAGCTGGTCAGTATCTGGTTGTCATCCAGGAAACGACAGCAGGACAAGTAACCTGGAGACAAACAGAGGTTCAACATCAGATAAGGATGCCCTGCCTGATTTTTATTTTATTTTTTTACTGCTGTGCTGATACTTCTTCAAAAGGTTGCTTTATGTAACTTTTTAACCAGGAGTGATATCTTTTCCTGCAAGGGGGACACCTGTGGCCCTTATGAGCAGTCCCACTCATTTTGGTTGTGCCCAGGTAGCTGAACCCACCTCTATTCCAAAACAAAAACAAGTTGGAGAATTGGCTTATATTTTTGAGATATTGGTTTAGGTGGCATGTTCAGCCAGCAGTATAGCCCTGGGGTTGAAGGCACTCATGTCCCTCCATCTTCAAGGGTGTGCATGCTCTAGAGTTGCACTGGTATATTAATGAAACTATTGTGAAGGCTATTTCTGACCATGATAAATCTCTCTCTCTCTCTCTCTCTCTCTCTCTCCCTCCCTCTCCCTCTCTCCCTCTCCCTCTCCCTCTCCCTCTCCCTCTCCCTCTCCTCCCTCTCACTCACCAGGCTGACAAGTGAGACTAAGGAAATGTAATGTAAGCAAACGTCTACCGCATATTTGTGGAAAAAGTTAGTTTACACATTTCATGCTTACATCGTCTTGAATAAATTGCAGGGAAAGAAAGTGCCCACCCACTGAGCGAGGTGGGTAAAATTAAATTTTCAATGAACTGTTTGTGCCAGGAGACAGACTGTAAATAAGCCAATGAAATCCCATGAAATACAGCGGACAACAACAGCAGCTTGTTTAGCTTTTCATTGTTTGACTCATCAAACCAGCCAGCCAGTTCCTAAAGAATATCTGAAAACAGTAACAGAATATGTGTGTCACAGACATTGACAAATTAGACATGCTGGAGTGCTGCTCTCAGGTCAGGATATGATAAAACTGTTAAAGTTGCTTAATATAGAAAATAGCAAGCAATATGATCAGGGTTTGTGGTTCTGTTGAGTTTTGCTAGCATTATTTCTTCACTGGTTCCAAGGCCTACCTGTGTGTCCGGGTAGCTCTCGGGTGACGCGCACATTGCCCTCGCGGGTCTTAAGGCTGTATATGGAGCAGATGTTGTCCAGGCCTCCGCAAGCCACATAGTTCCCAGAGGGGGCGTAGGCACATGTCATCACCCAGGAAGAGCGCAGTGGGATGGCATGCATCTGAGGACGAGGAGAGTCAATACTTTATTTAATACAATGAAAGGAAGTGATGCTGAGCTTCAAGGTTAATTCAGGTCAGTGGCTTTTATGTTCCGGTCAAATATCGTGTTTCGATCCAGAACAGAAGTAAACATTAAGTGCAAGAGGTCAGAGAAAGACTGTGTAAGGTTTTTCCTTTCTCCACTTTTGGAGAGGTGAATTGTATCTTATGGTATGGATATCCGCATATTTTGTTTGCAGATAATTATTAAATTATTTCTGGATGATAATGAATCTGAATTTTCCTCGTAAGTTTTGAAAACTGGACATTAAAATGATTTCTCAAAATACAGTGGTTACTTTCACTATTTGACCAGCTAGATTCATTTTATAATTAATATATATATATATATATATATATATATATATATATACCTCCCGGTGTCCAAATAGCTGCCATTTGGATGGTGGCTTATTGCAGTTCCCAACATATTTACAACAGTATAACCAATCTATAAATTACTGGCTGTACTCTAAAAAGGAACATCTGGACAGTTGATTTCAGCTTGTCAAATCATCTCTCTAATTCAAAAGTCAAAAGGGGAGAATCAGTGAAATCTGACAGCAGAAAACTTCTACATGTACTGTAACTGGACTGGTTGTTCTTGTACATATTATAAATTCTATCATTGATGATCAATAATCACCTTATTTGTTGTGTAACTGTCCCAGATGATTAGTTTTCCATCTTGCGAGGCACTGACAAGTAACCTGGAAACAAGTTAAGAACAGCAACATGAGGCTGAGGTCACACACTGAAAACAAACACACACATTTAATCTAAAAAGGTACATGCACTTGGATCATTAAAAGCAATGAGAGCCAGCCACCTTGCAGACTACTGTGCTACACTGTCTGAGTGAGTGTAAGGTGCTCTGTCAAACAGCATTCAGCGTGAGCTCCCTACTCTTCCCTCCCAGTCCCCATTTCGCTGCCCCCCCCCCCCCTTCTCCCCATCCTAGTGGAAGTTTCCTCATCCAGGGAAGCCACTTTTAATGTCCTACTCCATCTAATATTCATTACCCCAGTTATGTAAAAGTCCCTACTGTCGAGTGGGAGGTGGAAGCCTGAGGGGTTGGGAAAGCACTAGAAAGAAGCTGAGGTGTGGCCGCAAGAAGGGACAGCAAAAAATGAAGACAGAGAAGAGGGTGAAGTAGAAACAGTCAGTAAAGAGTGAGAGTTATTGGTGGTACAGATGCAGAAACAGCTGGAAACCCTCCCTCCAATCCTGACTGGGTGTTTCCATCTCTCCGGGGACAGGAAGTAGTTTGATGGTGCTATGCTACAATCAAGAGGAGAGCCATCACGCTCAAATGTCAGTGGCTGTATACAAAATAAACACTGGCCTCCTGCAGGGTCACCCAGAGGGTGCTAGGCACACACACACATGCACACAATCGCACAAATACATACACACACCCACACACTTAACAGAACAATCAGGATTGAACAGCCAATACCAGTATTTAGCTTTGTAATCACACTTTGTTAGACTCAAACACAGGTTTTAGTGGTGAAAAAAGAGAGAACTAATTTGCCTAAACAGAAGTGAGTGAACTACCATATGTTTTCTAAAAATCTACAAAAAGGTTTACCAGAAACTAAACTCCTTTTTGGTGACACCCTCTACCTAGTTCAACTCCAATGGATAAAGATCAGTGCACTGCATGCATAATATTGGGAAACTGTGATCTTGACTGATTATTCTTGGTGCTCGTAACAGCAGCAAACAGTTAAAAAAGCAGTTTGTAAGTTATAATTTCGGGATAACTCAATGGGTACATCCACAGTTTCTCACGGATTAATTTTAAATCATCATAACATCTGAAAAACGGTCAAAGATTTAGATCTTACAAACTGCATCTTTAAGGAAATACTGAATAAGCTGTGGCTGCCTGTCTCTGTGCCCAGTGAATATCATTACTGTGCTCCTAGTGAGGGCGTAAAACAGTGCTAGCACTTAGATGTACAGTAGTAGTGGAGGTGGCAGTAGTGACAGTCAGTTATGGTGGTATTAGTCATATTAGTAGAGTGGTAGTAGTAATAATAATAGTAGTAGTGGTACTAGTAGTAGTATAGCCCCACACCTGGGACTGCCGTCACTGTCCCAGTGCATTGCATTTGGAGACAGATGGACAGAGAGAAAGATAAAGAGTGACACAGACATATTAAACACAGAAATAAATTTGTTAATGACAGTGATACAAGATCTTGAGACTTCCAACATTTTTTCATCAGTCTGTTTTGTAGTGAGAGTTGTAATTTGGTACCGATATGTTGCCATTACTGAAGGATATTGATAGTCAAGTTGGTTGTATTACTTAGGTATTACTACTAATGTAAGAATTAAGCAATTAACTACATTTTCCAAGACACAGATTAAGCCAATACATTAAGCCAATACCAGACTGGAGATTTTACTGTAAAATTCCTGCACTGTGACTGAAGGTGGGTCCATGTTTGGCTGGAATTGAAACCTGCACACTGTCAGCCCTTGGAGGCACTTTATTGCCCATTCCTGGCATACTGTAGATCTTGACAGTTATAGCTGTAGTGTTAACAGTCACCATGCTGTCACTAGCAGTCTAGAAATTCAACAGTCTCAGGGGAAAAATTACCTTCAGTGTTTGCACAATATAATAAAATTAAGAAAGAGAATTGGACTAAACTGTGATGATTATTATTATTATTATTATTATTATTATTATTATTATTATTATTATTAGCAGCAGCATCCCTTTGTGCTTTTCTTGTGGGTGGGTAATTCATGTGAACTACAAAACAGATAATTTTGTTCAAGTGTGCTGAGGGAAAGAACACATAGCCCGCAGAGGAAAACACCAAACACTGCATCAAAACAATATTATGCTGAAAAACATTTAAAACAAGTTGACGACAGACTGAGGGTACAAACTGCAGTATTTCCTTCTGTAAGGTCTCCCAAAACTTTACAGAAATGGGGAAAAAGATAAATCATTAAGTATAGATTTTATGTCTAACAATTTATATAAATGCCTGTAAATAATAACAACATACAACAAAAAAATTAATCAGACCAAAAAAAATCCACCCCAGTGGATTATAAAGGTCCATTTCCTGTTCTGCTCTTAGCTAATAATTGTGTCTGTAGAATAACTACAATACCTGGAGTCGCTCCCCCAGTGCATTGCATAGATCTTGGCCAGGTGGCCCCTGAGAGTGCGTCGCGTTCGCATCTGTATCCGGCCCACTGAGTCCAGACCAGCTGTGATCTGCCAAAACACAGGAAGAAGCGTTAGCAGTGACACTTGAGGCCCACACGCACACACTTTTATCACCACAAACACACACACATCACTGGACTGGACTCTGGCTGAGGCAGCGAAAACAGGCCAGTGTCACTCAGCAATGAACAATGATGAATAATAGTGGAGTGTATATTAGTGTATGATGTCTTTGGAATATGTGTTAGTTTGTGCATACTGAGGGCAGGCCCGGGAAAGATTTCTAATGTCCATTTTGACAAACACATTTTTCGCAGGTATTCAAAAATATTATGAAGCTTCGGAGCTGTCCACATTTGGCGACAACTGTTTAAAACTAAACTGAACTGACTATATAACTAATTAATGGGTCAAAACTTAATTCATGGTTTTCATAGATGTATTTGAAGTGCTTTAACTTTGGGAACCTCAATTTGTTTTACAGGCATATTTTATTTCTTTTTTTCATAGTTTGAGCCAAGTCTTGAACACTCCCTCCTTAAGCAACACACTGTAGTTGCTACTGTGAAAACTTGTAGAACTACATTGTAAAACAGACCACTAATTGTTTACATAAATATGTGGCCCAGAATGCTTACCTGTGACAGAGTGGAGTCACTGCAGGCTTTCCTCGCATCCTGCAACACAACAAAAACCTTAATAATCATGTTGACCAGGAAGAAATTTCAGTCACTGGATAGCTGACTGAAATTCAACATGGGTAATTTTTGCAGACAAACCTCAAAACAAAAATGACAAAAATTGCTTCTAAATAATTGTCTTAACATGTGCTTTAACTTATTGCCAATCACAGGCACTGAATATCTCAGTGGTCACAGAATAATCACACAGCAGCAGCAGCTGACATTTATAGATCAAATTCCAATTTCTCCACGAGAATGGATGTAGCTGGAGTGACAAGTTATATGTCGAGTGCGTCACTGTCTCATCTGAAACTGTGTGAGTCACAGCTTGCAGTTATTAGACAGTGGCACACGTGTGATGTACACACACACACACACACACACACACACACAAACGTCAACATAAACAAACACATGCACTCAAAATGTTGCCGTACCCGGATCTGATTGCGTAGTTGCTCGGCTTCCTGCCGCAACTGTTCCAGCTCGCTCATTGTCCCTCTGTGATGTGTTCAGGCCACACTCTCCGCTCCAAATACTGACTGGGCTGGGAAAACACACGTGCCTGCACGCACACACACACGCGCACACACACACACACTCTCACACACCCACACACGCTTAACCAGCTGACACCTGCAAGACAGAAAGACAGAAATACTATGAGTTCAACAGGCGGATGGAGAGTGAAGGATGGGAACAGCCATCAGACAAACATAGGTATCCTGTATGGGCTCAGACCAAAAGAGAGTGCTGCAAAGGGTGGGGCTGGGTGGGGACCTGGAGGGTGGCCTGGCTCTTCAAACACCCCCAGTCTGGTTCAAAAGGCCATCTGAGCCAGGCTCTGACCTTTCCTGACTCAATCAGTCTTTTGTGTTGTTGCATTGCGCTGTTTGCTCGGCCCGCCCTAAAGAGCTCTGAACGTGTGTGTGTGTGTGTGTGTGTGTGTGTGTGTGTGTGTGTGTGTGTGTGTGTGTGTTGTGTACTGTGGGCTGATCTGGATGGTTTACTAGACAATTTGTCCAAAAGAGAAAGAGAACATTTGTGCATATATTTATCTGCGTGTGTATACATTATGGGAGCATTTATTTAAATGTGTGCCTGGGTTAAGTGTGTCAGATGGAGCATCTGTCTGTACATGCATGTGTGTGTGTGAGTATGCATGTGCAAGTTGCCTCTTCCTTTACCTTGGGGAGCCAGATGAATGTGGGTCACAAAGCACTTAGACACTCCACAGAACTGTTTGGACCACGCCCCGCAACCCCCCTCCGCGTAATACTCATTTTCCAAGCTGTTTTACAGTCTGCTGTCCAGAAGTCTAACCCTCCGAGATTAAATTTTTAGTTCCATTTTCTATAATTCAACAATTAGACCGAGCCCAGCCCTTCCTCTCCACAGGAAATCATGTTAATGTAAAGAGGAGGTTGTTTGTGCGTTATCTTCATTTTTACAGAGGCTTTAAAACCATTGGGGCCCATTTAATTGCTTTACCACAGAAAAACATAATTTTACAAATAGCAAATAAGTAAATAAGAAAATGTGATGTTCACGCTGCTAAGATTTTAAAGATACTGCAAGTGTGTGGAAAGCTACTCTTTTAGACTCCGGGTTCGGGCTCTGCTCTGCTACAACAGAGGCTGCCTTGGGCTGCTCATCGTGGACTCTTGTCTCAGCCAAAGAGGTCTTTGACAGTAACGAGGCATCGGGGATAGCGAGCGTTGCTTTCAGTTGCCCAGGAGTGACGTCACTCTCTCCTCCGGCTGACGCAACCCCCCTGAAGATAGGCTCTCAGCGTCAGCTCGCCTGTGATGTGGTATTGCTCTATGACTGCCATGCATCCATTATACTGTAGGCCTCTGAAATCTGCCACGTCACACAAAGCGCCTTGTGGACTACCAAAACACCCGATATGACCTTCCACACTCTGCATGCTAAATATTTTCAATCGATGTTTTCAGCCTGAGGCTTGTGTCGTGAAAGGCAATGGAGTTCACAAGAGAGATGAGGTGGAAAATAACACAGGTATGATGGAAGATGATGCTGAAAAATGTGACGTGTTGGGGCTGCTTTCCCATCACTTTGGATAAAGCTGACATCTCTGATTTTACGCATGCCATGTCAGTGATTTGCGAAAGATTCTTGTTCACACCTGGATACTAAATATTAGTCATTCTGAAACCAAAACACCACATATTGACCACAGCCAAAAGAAGCTGTCACACAGATAAATGGTCTACAAAAAGGACTATATAAAAAGGTAACAATTTATAGTTTTAAACCTCAGTGAGCAAGCGTACATGTGTGTCTTGACTGGAGTCGTGTAGCTACCCGGCCAGCCGGGCAAACTCAGGCCCAGAGCATGGCACAGTATCAGGGGCGACAAAGGCAGAGCTGTGTGTTGGAGCTGCCTATTGTTTAGTATGTGGCTGCCAGCTACAGTAGATAGTGCTGCTTGGCACCACCACAGTTGGGCCTCAGGAGACTGGCCATAGGAGGCCTTTATTGCTACTGCCCTTCTGACACCAACCAACCACCCATCCATCCAACATGGTCAGCCTTGAAGCTCCCAGCAGCCATCAGGAGACCACTGTGTCCTGAACTGGGACCAAACAAACTGCCATCTGCATAAAATTGTAGCTATAGACATATATACACAAAGGCAGAAGTAGGCATACCATTTTTACCACACAATTAAACGATTAATCAAGAAAATAATCGGAAGATTAATAATAAAAAATAACTGTCAGTTGTAGCCCTGTAAAGTGTACACATCTGGTGTTTTTACATCTGGTTCAACATGTTTCTGGCTGCATATCTTTGTAATTGATTCATTCAGGTTACCAATGACTGTAAAAGGAATGTTTATGAGAAAGTGGCAAACTTTCACTTTCATTTTCTACCCCTCAAAGACAAGGAGAAAGAGAGACACGCAGAGAGATCTCCTTAACTGCTCCATAGTAAGGTAATTCACAATCACTATGGTTTCCCGTTCTAATAATGAAGCTTGGTCACAATTTGTTACAGGAAACCTACACTGTCCCTTCAGTGTGAGTCCCTGCTGACTCAGTAATAGTTCTTGTTGAGCAGGAAATATACAATCGTAAGACAGTAATCGCTTCAAGCGAATGTTTAACTAATGTCTAGAAGCAGATTAAAGTGTTTCAATTTCAGTTCAAAAACTGATTCACATCAGATGAAACCACGCTAGAGCAGTGTGTAGGATTTAGTGGCATCTAGCGATGAAGCCTTCCAAGTGTGTAGGAAAAACTATGGAGGCCGCGAAACTCGTCAAATGTTTGGTTTAGTCGTTCTGGTATACTGTAGAAGATGGAATAAAAGAGATTTAAAAAACAGCTCATTCTAAGGCAACAAAAATGCAAAATTCTTATTTTCATGCGATTTTACACTAATGAAAACATACCAATAAACATTAAGCCGCTTTTCCACCACACGGTATGGCTCGACTCAACTACCTCTTCTATGGTTTTCCATTATGGATAGTACCTGGTTCATATTTTGGTACCACCTCGATCAAGGTTACAAACGAGCTGAGCGGTCACTAAAGGTTGGTGTGAAAACACTGCAGACTACCGATTGGTCAAGTGACAACGTGCAGATGTATCAAGAACACCATTCCTTCATATTGTCTGTTATAGGAGCAGCAGCTGCTTTTTGTGCACCTAGTTAGTGTGCAGCTTCTCAAGAACAAGTAAAGCTCCTGTGTGTTGTTTCCCAACTGCTGGAACAGCGTCGCTCTGACGCTCAGCTACACCTACGGAGAGGGCGTAATATCGAACATACTATCAAACGTACTATCTACAGTGGAGTAGAGGTACCAAAAGCAAGTAGAGTCGGGCCGAACCATGTAGTGAAAATAATTCAATTGCTGCCAATAAGTCCTCCAAAATGTTATCCACTGGACCTTTAATGCTCATCAGCATGTTTTATATCAAACAAATTTGTCAATGAGACCTTCTGCTCCTTCTGGGTCACATACAGTTGAAAGTCAGTCACATCTGCCTCAATCATGAGCAAATACTGGTGAACAGAGCAGCAGGAGGTATAGTCAGTGCAGCTGCACCCGGAGCCACAGGGGCCTAACAACATGAAATGGTCAGGAAGTTAAGGAATTAATGTTATAAACAGCCAGATGTGAACAACTGTGAGGACTTTACACCATTGTTTACAGTAAAACTTTATTCATCATGATCAACATTATCACATTGTATAAGTTGGACACACACCTTCTTATTTCCAATGGAAAATGATAAGACTTTGACCCTTATAATTCTTTTCGCTGACTTGAATAATTCACTGGTTTAGACCAGCTATGTTCTCAAATGTTAGGGTGTGTTTAATTTGTAATAAATGTAAGATCGAAAGGCCCAAGTCCAATCAATATTAAGCTTGTTCCTTCTTCCTTTTCCTGAACCAAAATCAGTACTGTAGGGCATTTTAAATGTATGACATACACTGCTGGAGGATGATGAACATGCCCAGGTATTCATTAGATGGTTTAAGTTTCAGTTTTGTTGAACATCTCCCACACAAACATAATCCTACACCTATGACTGATCTTGCCCTCACAGTATCTATCTGAGGCAATTTCAGGATTCGCAAGTGCCTGTACTGAATGGGCCCCCACTGAAAAAGAGCAGGAAACCCGCCGTGGGTTTGGTGTGCGACAGTGAAAACTAGATGTAGCGAGGGCTGCTCCACCAGGTGTAAACTTGTTCAGATAACCCACTGACTATTCCAAACATCCAGAGAATGGAGGAAATACTTGGTGAGATTCCAGTAAGGTAAGAAGCCACATTTCTTCCTTCTAGTCAGCTGACACGTGTTCGTATCATGTTGTTCATCTGCCGTGAATTAGTGAAGTAAAGAAACAAAATAGGCAGAACGCCTAAGGCATACTATTAGTCAGGACCACCATGGAGGTGTTTTCACTGGACCCCAGAAAAAAATATATAAAGTTTGATTTTTGCTTATTATTACACATAACTGACAGGAACACAGTGAATAAATGTGTGATGAATGTATGACCTACTTTGTTCGCAGATTTCACTCCACCTACACCAGACAGTTACAGAATTACACATAATACAGTCACACGTAACTCCTAATAAAAAAAACTGCAAGAACCCCAGTTAGACGAGGCTTGTTTGGACAAGACTGTTTGCTACAGGACATCCACAATTGCTTGAAGTGAACCAAGATCCTTTTACATGAAAGTTTGAGAATTCCTGCCAGTTTATAATGGGTCCAATATAAAAACTACGAGTTGTTATTTTGCCATTACCACGGGTTAATTTCTCTGAGGTGTGGCAGAGTTTGGTAATGCGCTGCTGGACTAACAGGTGTTGTAGAGCTTGAAGATGCAGTACACTAGGGATGGGCAGTATTATTAGTATAATACATGTTAAAACAAAAAGTTACTCATTTTGGTAGATTTATTTTAAGATTATATGATCACATCATACAATTCAACTGAAGGTCGAAAAATGATTATTCACTTCAGTGACAGACTGAATATTTTAATCAGTCCAGCCCTACATACAACATTATTATTGTGAGGAATATTTATTGTGTCTAATGTTCCCAATCACTGTAAAAAGGTTTCCAATACTGTCTTTTTCTGGCTGTAGGGCTGCAACTAACAATTATTTTCATCATGGATTCAGAAAATAGTGAAACAATTTCACAGAACCCAAGGTTGATGACTTCAAAACCCACACATATTCAATTAACAGCTATATACGACTGATTAAACTAACAAATCCTCATATTTGAGACGCTGAAACCAGAGAGTTTTGGGCATTTTTGACCAAAACAATTAAGCAATAACAAAAATTCTTGCCAGTTAATTTCCTGTTGATCAATTAATCAATTTATTGTCTCAAATCAGTCCAGCTGTCTGTAAAGGCCATATTACAGTTGTATGCTGCATAATCAATCCCCCTATCATCCACCTTTTAAACTTAAAATTAAATATACCATTACATGAGCACCAACAACACAACTTAAAACCCCTGTAGGTAAGTAACCAACCAGAAAAGCTGAAGATTGAAACTTTTACCAGCTGTAACTTCAACCCTGTAGATTGCACACACTGACAGTCAACAACAGCCCAGACAGGAAACCATCAGCTACATCATAATGGAGACACACAGACTGCAGATGACATTAACATGTATAAAAAAAAACAAAAACATATCTTTATGAAATAATCTGAGTCGAGACACATTTTCTGACAACAAGCAACAAATTGCATGAGCCTCGCAACCAGTTGCCGCTCGGATGAAGGCGGACTGGCCATGTATATTTAATAAAAAAGGGGGGAGAGAAAAAAAAAAAAAAAAGAAGCTACGCAGGGTGTCGTGCGACCACAAATGAGAAAACTGGTGTATGAAATACGGGAAAGGATGAATATGTGTCTTCTAGTGAAAGCTTTTGTAGCCCATAGTTCCGCATGATTATCATTTGACAGACTGTTTTGTTTAAAAAAATAATATAAAAAAAGGCCGCGTTTGGAGAGCAGTGGATTTTCAGCAGTGGAAAAAAAACCCAGCATTGAGACAAGAGTAGCCTGGGAACAGTTATGTTCAAGAGCTACTCACAGCACCGACAACATTTACAAAGCTCACGGACATTTCTGCATGTCAACCCCTTTAATATAAAATATAAACATACAAAAACCGCCGTGAGCGAAGCAGGAAATAGCCCCGAAAGCCACCAAAATATCAAGACTACGCGTCCCTTACCTGAAAACAGGCTCTCTCTCTCTCTTTGCTTTTTTCTTTGGCACTGTCCGTCCTTCCAGTCCGAGTCACACCGATCCGTTTTCACACGACAACCATGGTCACAGCTGTGAGAGAAACCGTGAATGGGAGACGTGTTAATTTTAAGACAATTTAATCGGTTTAAAGGGGCAGAAGCGAGCACAACTCGGGTCGGATTAGACTAAAAATTTTCACTAAGCAAGCTAATCACCACACCCATGAAAGTGGGAACATGGCAACAGCCTACGCTGAGGGGTGCGCGGTGGAGGATAGATTGATCTTTTTTCTAATATAACCAATATAACAAGTTATAGAATATCAGACCTTTACTAGTAAGACTTAAAATGAAGTCAGTAGTCCAAAACAATCGGTTATATCATCTTCTTTAAGCTTAAGAAAATGTCTCAAATGGGTTGTGTAACCTACGGGCGAAATGGTAGCGTCTTACAGCCCCCTCAACAAAAAGGAACCGAATGGGATACAGGAAACAAATATTAGACCTATAAAGCCTGTGTAGTAGTAGTAGTGACTCAAGTGGACTTCACCTCAGGTTTGAAAACACACTTTTTGGTCATAAAGTCCACTCTTTTAAATGTGCTCACACATCAATATAAAGAACAAACCAGGCGAGTCGTGAATCTACAGTATTAGTATTAAAAAGCTGGAGGTGAGGAAAGTGCAGTATTTTTTTGGGGGGTTTACTCTATAAATGTAATATATTACCAATCATGAGTTTACTTTGTGACCTGTGAGCATTATTGTGAACTTATATGTTTTATCTTTCTCTGTTTATTTTGCATATAAAACACCTCATAAGCATGAAATACTTCGAACTATATGTGCAGGAATAGCTATGTAATGTGGTTATATTGCATCTACTCAAAGATTCTGTGAGTTATAGAGCCCATTACAGTATGAGTCTGTACAGTAAGTCTGCTGTAGCCATGCTTTAGAGCTGAAATCATAAGTTGATTCATCAATGGACGGAAGCAACGTTTTCTGGATCTAATATCAGGATTTTTCTGTTTTCCCTTTGCTTTATACCGTTGTAAATGGACTCTTTTTGTGCTTCTGACTGTTGGCAAGTAATGTAAAGACTTCACCCTGTGCTCTGTGAAATTCTGCCAAAACAATTATCAATACAGATTAACCAATTAAGAAAATAACTATTAGTGGCAGCCCTAAAAATACTTAGCTTAGCTGCAAAAATCTGTCAATAAATCACTTACTCGATCAATAGATAGTTAATCAGCAGCTATTTCGATAATAATTTCATTTTTAAGTTGTTTTGTAAGAAAAAACTCACTGCTTCCAGCTTCTCAAATGTAAATATCTTCTGTTTTTCATGTCTTCTATGATAGTAAACTAATATCTCTGGGGTTTGGACTGTTGGCTGGACAAAACAAAAACATTTGAAGATGTAACCAAGGGGTTTTTGAACTTGTAAAGAGTATTTTCCCTATTTTCTTACATTTTATACACCAAATGATTATTGCATTTCATTAAAACATTACTTATTAGTTGCAGATATGATATGCTTATAATAAATAATCCAATTGTACCAAGTGACAGTATTTTTTTTCTGTCGCTACGCTATTGAAGCTTAAGTAATTTACAGTAGATCCAGTAACTAGAATCCAAGACAGAGAAGCTAAATCAGTTATTAACCCCCCCGAAAAACACCCTAAATCAACATTTAAAGCTGTAGGGTTTGAATTGTGCCAGGAGACAGCTGTGCCAAGTCTCACCCCGGCACACCACAGTTGGCCTGGAGTGGCCTCATTGAAAAGGATCTCTCTCCATTAGGACAGGATGAATTTTTAATGGGGCCAATGAAAGGGAGCAGTGGGATAGGCTTTTCCATATCTCTGCACGAGCCACAATCAATGGAGGGAAGATGAAAGTTGCCCAGCCCTTGGTTTCCTTTCGGAGTGGTATGGGGTCAGATTAAGTCTAATTGAATTCACACACACAGCAGTAGTTTAGGTGTGTCAGACCAATTTCCCCCTAAACACAGTATGAGGATTAGGATTAGCATGATAGCAGAAACATATGTTGTGGTAGATTTATAAATGTTGGACTTTAATAAATACAGTAATGTACAGTACGTGTTGCTCACATGTTTTAGGACTGTTGCTCCTAAAATTTGAAATATTTGATTAATTCCTCTATAATTCATTGAATATGACTAAATATCCTCACATATTTACTTTAAAATACATTTAATTTAAAAACATACAAAATCATAACCATAAATCTGCCCCTATATAAGAGGAAAAATAGTCCTTATGTATCCTCACAAAAATCATCTGACATCTGAATGGTTTTGTTAAATGTACAGTATGACAGCATGAACATGATACACTAACAGGTTTTTGCCACAACTTGTTTTAAAGATGACATAATCTTGCATCATCTCAGTCTTTCTGTTGTGTCATGTGAAGTTGCTCAATAAATTGCTTTTACTGATTGCCCAAAGGTAGATATAAATCATGCACCTGCAATTCAAATACAATTTAAATCTGGTCATAAATACTCAATTCATTACCGTAATCTTTTTTTTTTTGCCTTTTTGGGACAGAGGTTGCCTTTTATAAGAAAGAGATAACTCTTCTGCTCGCTGCCTCTAGTGAGCAAAAAGACTGAATTCATTAGCCAGCTGAATCAGAGTCAAGGTGTCCAAAAGCACATCCTTAGCCAATCAGGTCCTTTGGCCCATTGCTTGGCAACCAAAAGGAAAGGAAGGGAGCAAATTGACACTGTAAAAATAGCACATCAATAGCCTGGTGTCTGAAAAAAAAAGAAAGACACACATGTTGGTGAGACTATAAATAGCCTTCTGGAGCCTGGAACGGGTATCGTGTACAGTATCTCAACTGTATTGTTGCCTACGAATGAGACATTTTGCATCAATGCAAATTCAACATGGGTTGTGCAAACGGCGCTCAAAGTACAGTAACAGTCAGGCAGCTGAATGAAATCATTTGAATGTAAGGGTGGTTTTAGGGCTTATTAGGAACAAAATCTCTTTATTACTGTGTAAAAATAAAAACAGGTTGGTATTCGTAGGCAGCAGTTTCTTCATCCTACTATTTGCTATCTGATGTTTTATATAGATGCAAAAGTACAATGGCCTCTTCTGCAATAATAAATTTGAATGTACTATAACAATCAATAATGTGCATGGACAAGTTTGCATGCCAGAGGGGATTTAGGGTTTAATGGCTTACATGAATAACTTGTTGGATCTTTTCATATTATCTCATTATTCATCATCTCATATTACATCCACATATTGTTCAGAGGCATCACGACAAGCTGCGTGCTGTATCTAGTCTTTACATATTATCTCATCATTACAATGGCACATTGTTAAAATGGGTCGTACACATCTTTTGTGTAATGGTAGAGTAGAGCACAACGTGGCCAAAAATAGATCTATCATGTCCAATTCAGTTTCACAGGACTGCTCAAAAATGAGCCCAATACGTGGGTGATCAAATCAAGTGGAGATAATGGAACGTCAATCTGAAGCAGCTTCTCGATGCCTATTTTTATCTGCACGTTCTCATTTTTTTGCCCACATGTGGCGACGCGCCCTGACGACCTCCATGTAATACTTCCACTGTATCAAAGGCAATTAAAAGGTGTTGCAACAGTAGAACCTTAAAAGGCTTTATCAGGGCCGTCTTATCCACCAGACATCTCCCGGGGAGGCTGGCCGTTGCCAGGGTAACCCTCACAAATGGCAACTGACGTCAAGAAGGTAGGAGAAATACCAGGGAGAGCCAGAGCTGCTATGCATAATGGATTATTGAAAAAAGGGCCCTCTTGAGGAGTGCAAAGTGACTTAAAATATGCGTGCCTTGCTGGGCTTGCCACCACACTTATCTCTCTCCCTCTCCCTCTCTCTCTGTGATGAGGAAAATAGATGTTGACAGTTTCAGGGTTTTACTTGCTGACTAGGACAGCTTGGGCTTGACTGGCCCAATTTAAATTAACCATCTTGAGTCAAACACTGCTGATGAAATATCTCTTCAAAGGACACATTATGGTTTCTTTTCCTAGATTGGATAATTTTAATGCTATTTGTAAATATAAGTAATCTTGTCCTGTAAGCTGGAGTATATGTGCTACTGTGTCTACATATGAAAGCAAAACCTTCTGTTACTGTACTCAAATCAAAATGTACAGCCACCTGCTCTGCATCTTACCCAATCTAAACCAAAGAAACAGATATCTGGCACATCAGCTATTACCACCACCAGCAGATCTTTTGTTGTCACGTAACGAGGATCCACCGTGACATTTATGCATAGGTTCTCAGAAGTGATCGCTTCAGATCCAAGTCCAGAGCGTAACCACCAGCAGTTTACTCTGTCCCTGTGTCCGGTTCTTGTCTAATCTCAGTGCTGTTGTTGGCCCATGAGAGACTCACAGCGGCAGCTTGGTGAAGAGCCCTCATCGTTTCTGTGATAATGCCTCTTGTGTTGTGTTGCAGTCACACTATCGACAATTGGGACACCGATTGTGCAGTCAGGTTTGCTGATGGCAAAGGCCAAGTGCTGTTGCTATCCAAATGAATTCAGCAGGACAGAAGCACGTACATGCAATAGAGAATTGAAATGGTGTCTATTTTGGGGTAGCATGGTGGAACATATGGATTTATCACCATCATAATGTCACAGGCGTATTTTAATATCAATATGCTATCACATTAAGTATGGATATTACGTGATAAAGAATCTTAACTTCCAGTTTGGCTTCTTTGGAGAATAGAATAAAACTTTATTGTCTAAAGCTCATGCACATAAATTCACCACAAAAACATTTAACAGAACAAATAATAGAGAGAGAGAATAAGTGATTACATGAAATAATTGGCGATAACATAAGAATATCAATGTGCTGCCTTTATAAATAAGAATTAATTAGTGGCATGCATGTTAAAAATAAATATTAACATGCATACATAAAATATATTTAAAAGGTTAATAATATCCATAAAGACTCGTGTGACTGAAATGTTATGTTCTAAATAAGCAACATCATAAATGTTGCCTGTCAAACATCTGTATTATAAGTTACTCCAAATAAAAGCACCTGTTTTCTGTGTACTATGTACATGAAGGAGTCAATGAACACCGGAGTGAGTGGGCCTGAAGCTTATAGCTTTTGTTTCAGAGAGAAGCTGCAGAGGAAATGTGCAAAGAGAAGAAGTGAGAGTGTTTCAGTCCAGGGGAATCCCAGACACTTCTGTAAATCAGGGGCGCAACAAGCAACGCAAAGCATGAACTAACATGCTCTGAGTTTCCAAAGAAGTGAATCACACAAGTCGTGCATGGGAAAAGAAATTAAAGGAAGTGAGGAACAACCCTGATGTGCTAATGCCACCCTTTTCAAATGGCTCCCGTTAGCAGCTGCAACACCATGACACCAGATGATAATTTATTTATTACCACAAGCCCTAAATTATTTTGATTTGACATTTTGGTGCACCGCAGGTTCAGAACATGAGATAAGACCAAAGTATGACTTCCTTGTTTCCTGAAAACCAAACACACCCCTTGATGCCAGAACTGCAGATCCGTTTGATAATCTCACAGCCGAAATACAACAGTCACCAGTGTTTCCTCTGTTAATTCTGCAGTGGTGGATTAACTGTTAGTTCTGGCTCCACACCCATCCCTGTTGTAATTCAAATAATGCCTCTAGTACAGATTTCTGATCTTATTTTGATGCTTTGTTTGAATAAAAATATTACATCAAACTGTAGGAATGTGCTTATATGTGCCTAAAATCAGGCAGTAGTTGTAGTGATTTTGCTGTGGCAGTGAATCGCAGATGAACGAATGCAGAGGGAAAGACCGGACAATGTGCACACCAATACACAACAAAAACTATACATTTACAAAAACAGTTAAAGCTTTTCTACCTTTTTCCTGTGCAGATGAGTAGCAGAGGAAGTGGGCGTTTTCTGCATACGTCCTAAATGGCATGGATTTCGAGTTGTACAGAGCGCTGTCGTTTCAGTTCTTCCTTTCAGCTGTGAGTGTAGATGCTGCTGGGAGGAGCAGTAAATGGAGAGAGAGACAGTGGTGGAGTATGAGGTAGAGCTGCTGAGTGGGAGGGTGAGCATATGGGGGCATGGAGGATGGGAGATGGAGTAGTATTTCTATTAAAGGGACAGAGTTTATTTCTACAACACTATAGTTTAGGACCTAACTGGATAAGTTGCAGAAATTGTGTTATTTATGGCAAATATGTTGTGTTACTAACATCCAAGATGGGCTCAGGGTGATCTACAGTACACAGTTACCTTTAAGAAAGTGGACACCACTCTGCTTGTAGGTATAGTTAGAATGTCCGATATTGAGGAAGATTCATCAATTCAGGGTAAAGGGGGGCTGAAATCCATCCGAGCACACACTGGGTGGAAGTCAAGTAAAGAGGAAGGGTCCAAAATGAGATGAACTGTAAATCATTTACAAGAAATGCTCAGAAATATTAAATAAGTATCAGTCAGTTTCTTGCTGCAACAGAACCCATATTTGCCAGATTTAGGTAGGATAGAGAATAATTATACAGGTACGTCTTATATAAGGCATGATAAATGAACCTCCTCTAAAAATTTAATTTTTCACTGGAGACATATCAACATGTTGCACTAGAAAAAGTGCAGGCATGGCTGAATTCCATTTAGCCCCATGCTGGCTCATTGTCACACTGCAATGACTTACTGGGACACGAAGAACGGAGCCATCATTGATGTCATTACTAACACTTCTGCGTTTCCTACTATGACAAGTGAAATTGTCTGCTGTGAAAAAGGCATACATGACTGTTTTTTACCAGGTCTCTTAATTCATCATTTTTTTCACACTTGTAAATAAAGAGGGTTCCTTTGATAATGTTTGAGAAACACCTTTGGACACCTTTAAAAGCAATCCATCATTTCAACCATTGCCTCAAATCCAAAAACCCTCAAATTTCCATTTTTTTTTTTTTTGCCTCTTTCGCTAATGGTCATAAGTTTAGTAATTTGTTTTGTATCAATTGTCTTATTAAGTTATATACACAATGTTTGTTATTGTGTAACACTTATGTATCATTTGGTAATTAATTATAACACTAAACAAAGGCTTTGGTTACGCAGAGATTATTAATGGTTATCAAGCACAGAAATATATTCACTTCACACAAAATCAGTCACATTTTAGTTTAATCCATCAGCATCTTGACTGCATTCAATTTTTTTTGCATGCCTAAATCAGTGATGTTTGATGCTTGAGTAACACAAAAAACAAGGAAACCCAAGGATCATAAAAATTACCAAGCCGCGATAGAACAGTTAACATGGCTGAATGCTGAACCTGTGTTGCTTCTTGTAATCCACTCTACACAAGTTACAAATAAAGGCCAGGCCAAGTCCACATGTCAACATGAAGCCTTTTATTTATTGTTGTTTTATTGTCTGAAAAGCACAGTGTGACTCTGTCTTAAAGGGTGCTCTGGATCCATAGTGCAGTTAATCAATTGACCTTGAGAAAGTTTATGACAAGATTTTTAAGCAGTCTGTGTTTGAATGAAATTTGCACAACAGTGATTTAATCTACACATTAAAATGTCCACTCCGGTTTTTGTTCCAAAATAAAGGCAAGATTTATTTTATTATACAGTATAAAGTATCTGGTACAGTTATCTAGCACTCAAACTCAATTTCCAAGTGCTTGTAGAAAAGTGCACACCAGCTGTTTAAAGGAACAAAATTTGACCTTTCACACAAAGCTATTATGTTATTTCAAAACTGGGATTAATATCTAATGCAACAACCACAGACATAGATTTCATTCAGGTAAAATGAAACTGATCCAATATGTTGTTAAAATTAAAACTGACCTGAAAATGCAATGACACACGCCTAGCATTTGCTCGGCAACACTCTGCCACTAAATCTTTTAGTGTTGTCCTTTTGGGCATCGAACGCTTAAACAACAAACTACATGAAGGCTTCACTCAAACTTGATTCCCTGGGCCAGAGGAAGATCCTTGCTGTAGTTTATCGTACAGGTTGAACGCCTCATGTACTGCTTCCATGAGTCACTGCCGGACTCTCTTCCACCCCCTGTGTGTTTCTCCCCACCAAAGGCTCCTCCGATTTCAGCTCCGCTTGTAGGAATGTTGACATTCACAATGCCGCAGTCGGATCCCTTGGGCCCCAGCCAGCGGAAAACCCGACCCATATCTTTGGTGAAGATGCTGCTGGACAGTCCCTGCTGGACCTCGTTGTTCCAGGTAAATGCCTCCTCCTCTGTCTTGAACTTGAGGACGTACAGTATGGGGACGAAGGTTTCGGTGTGGACAATGGGAGCGTCATGAGCCAGCCCTGTGATGATGGTAGGCTCCACGTAGTTTCCAGGGCGGTCCATCACCTTTCCTCCGCAGACCAGAGTGCCACCCTGCTGCTTGGCCTGCTCGATGGCAGCCAGATACTGCTCCACAGCTTGTTTGGTGTGCAGAGGCCCATACAGGGTGCTCGGATCCCAGGGGTCTCCGATACGGACTTGTTTGTAGGCCTTGGCGATCCTCTCAACCACTGTGTCGTGAACGCTCTCGTGCAGCATCAGCCTCCTGGTTGTGGTGCAGCGCTGGCCAGCGGTTCCCACAGAGGCAAACACGGCAGAGGGCACCACCAGATTCAGGTCAGCGTCCTCAAACACGATGATAGCATTGTTTCCGCCGAGCTCCAGCAGCTTACGACCGAACCTCTCCTGCACCATCATGGCCACCATCTTGCCGACATGGGTGCTGCCAGTGAACGACACCAGATCCACGCGCTCATCCTTCGCCATGGCTGTGCCGATATCTGCGCCTCCACAGGTCATGGAGCAGATGGCACCGGGCAGGTTGTTCTGCTCCAGCACCTCAGCCACGATCCTGGTAACTGCAACACTTGTGAGGGGCGTTGTTGGAGCGCCTTTCCAGAGGCAAACGTTGCCGCAGGTCAAAGCGATGGCATTGTTCCAACCGTAGACAGCCACGGGGAAGTTAAAGGCAGTGATGATGCCGACAAGACCAACTGGGTTCCACTGCTCGAGCAGGGCGTGACCTGGTCTTTCTGAAGGCAGGATGGGCCCGCCAATCATTCTAGACAGACCAACAGCATAATCACAGACATCAACATACTCCTGAACCTCTCCCACTCCCTCAACATAGATCTTGCCCATTTCTAGAGACACCAGGCTCCCGAGGACTTTGATTTTCTTTCTAAGCGCATCTCCAATCTGCCTCACAATCTCCCCTCTTTTGGGAGCTGGAATATCCGCCCACATCTTCCAAGCCTCCCTCGACTTCTGGACAGTTTCTTCATACTCCGCCAAAGTTGCCTGGGTTACTCTGGCAATCGGCTCATTGTTGGCAGGGCAGTATGACGTGATGACCTCTCCGCTACCTCCCCAACTCCCGTTGTAAACACCAGGGTTGTCCTCAGACAGGCCCAGCTCTTTCAGCCAGGAGTATTTGGGCTGGTTGATGAGGAGACCTGACATGGCTGCTGACTGCTGGCAGCGGACAAATGCAAGTTTATTTCTTAAGAGGAGCCTGCTGTGCCGGGCAAGGGTCAGAGTGAGGCAGTGCTGCATGGGTGCTGGAAGCAAACAAAGTTAAACATTTATTTTACAAGTTTAAAATGTGTGAAGAACATTTGTAAAGAATTGTTGACAAAACAATCTAATCAGAAGGGTCAGATGAACTGCTTGTTCAGTACATCAAGTAATTGTTTATTCAATAAAACTGCAGAAAATAGAGAGAAATGCAGAACACAATTTTCACATTTCAACTCCACTTCTGTCCATTTCTGTTACTCCAGGTCAAAAATTAACTTTCAGTTTGAAGATTAATAAATAACTTCAGTTGCATCAGCTATAGTAAGTATTGTGTGAGGAATTCTTATTGAAACTGAAATGGTTGATTAATTAACTAGTCGACTGACACAAGATTAAATGGCAACAATTTTGATAATCAGTTAATTGTTTATCATTCATTCCAGCTCCTAAACTGTGACGATATTCTACTTTTAGCTGTTTATGATATTAAACTGAATCTATTTTGGTGTCATACTGTTGGTGGCAGAGCCCCTGGTTCTGGGGAAATGTAATTTTCCATATTCTACTAATTGCAAAAATGCACTAATATTCTCCTATTAACTTAATATCAATAATGCATTATGCAGAAGGTCAATTAAAGGGAAACCACAAGTTAAACAACATATATAGTAGAACTGGAGCAGGTTGGAACTAATAATGTTGCAGCTGTGTGCACTTCATTCAAAATAGCCTATGGGTTACGTAACCATAGGTGTTCTCAGACTTTTACTGTATGGCCAACAAGTTACTCAAGCATATCCAGCCTGTGCGCTTGCGCAAAACATCCAACTTTGGACAACCACGAGGCAGTAGAAACGTTTTTTCAAGATAAATAAAGAAGACAGTCGACACAACAAAACCACTGAATGTAAACCGAAACAGTAACTACACGTTTGCGTTTTGAAACTCCAAATTTTCCAATGTCAGAGTTGCTACTTCTGCAGGGCGACGTGACATGGTCGCCGATCAGCGTCAATCTTGTTGAGTCTGATCGACCGTGACTCAAGGTCCTGCAGTTTACGCTCCCTGACAGCGGCGTGCTGCTATAAAGCGTGCGCGTACATTGTCTGCACGTCAGTTCTGATTAATAAAAGTAAGTTTATGCTACTTATAATCAGTTTCTTTCTCTTACTCACGTTGATATCAAGTCCGTAGGGCCACGTCCACTCCAGAGCATGGAAGTAATTGCAGTCTCTTGATGGTTTGGTCACAGCTGAAACGGAAGTACTAGCGCTGTGCTGCGCTGTGATTGGACCGCTGCCTCTGCGCAGTGTGGCGCCTGCTTTGTTGGGTTGATCCATGCTAACACATTTCCTTTGTTGTGATTAACCGTTCAGCGGTTGTGATTCTGCTGTAATAACTTCTATTAAGAAAGTTGCTCTTGAGATAACTTACACGATGAGTGGCGGAGTGTACGGAGGCGGTGAGTGGGAT